TTAACAATTATTTATATTTTATTTATATAAATAAAGTCAATATTTATTATGTAAATAATAATATATTAATACTTTATGTATATAAATGAGATACAAATAAATATTTAATTTATCATAAAAAATTAAATTATTCACATTATTAAATTTAACAATTTATTTACTCTAGTAAAAGCTTAAGGGCTCAATAAAAAATTTAACGTAAATTTAGAGGTTAGTTAAACATAGGGTTTGTTATTTATTTATTTATTATTGACAAAGACAAAATTGTAAGGTTGAATTAATCTACGGAGAAGTCAGTGTTAGCTTTTTTAAGCTTTGCAGATGGTGCAATTCAGCCTCTGCAATGTTGTGGCAGGTTAGCCCTGTACCAGAAAACATTGGCAAATCAGTGCCTCTACTATATGAAATCTGTAAATCACCCCTTCTGTTAAGGATGATGTTAGAAAATGTCATATTTCAATTGATTTTTGTGCCCCGTTAACAAAAGATGATGGTTGGATAATAACATAGCATTAAATTTCAAAAAAACCTACCTGACTTAGGAAAAAAAATATTTTCAAGACCTTTTTTTTTTCACTTTTACATATTTATACATAGAGGATTTTTAACGTATGCCCTACCTCATTTATTATAGAGCATGTTTGGTGAAATTTATAAGTGTTTTAATTTTTTTAATATTATTTATTTTTCATAATTTTAAATTTTTACTACAGAAAAAATTTAAAAGTTATTTTTGAAAAGAGTAAAAAATGAGTAAAAATAAAGTTTTTAAAATGTAAAAATTTTAAAATTTTTAAAATTTACTGTTTAAGGTCTTTTTAAAATTAAAAAAAATTAAAAATATAAGTTTTTAAAAAAAAAATTTAAACTTATAAACCTAAACTTATAAATCATAAATAGTATTAAAAAAGTTGAAATACTTGAAAGCTAAACCAAACATGTCCATGGTATTTGTAATTAATTTTACATAAAATTTTATATAATATTCAAATAAAATATAATATAATATATAAAAATAAAATATAATACAATAGTTGACCTTAAAATCTATAAAAAGTGATAAATCTAATA